GCTTCGTTTCACCCATCGCCTTCACTCGCCTTCCTTAATCGCGCACACGCTCGCCGCTCGCTTCGTCTCCACTTGCCGCTCGCACACGCTCGGTCGCGCCATGGAGTACGTCGAGTCGCTAGAGTCCGTCGAGGTGCCAGACTCCATCGACGCGTTGGACACCGTCGAGGGGCTAGAATCGGAGATGGCGCTGGACTCCGTCGAGGTGCCGGACTCCGTTGAGGTGGTGTAGTGTCCTCGCTGCGGCACGTTCCACGCTGGCGGAGTTTTCGAAGAGGCCTGCTTCCAAGCTCGCCGCCGTGCTCGTAGGTGTGCCCGTTGTGGCCTTTTACATGAAGACTACGACCTCCCAGCAAGGTTTTTGCATAACATGGAAAAGTTTGATTGTGAGTTCTTCATTCCTGATGTGGAGAAACCTCAAATGGATGGTGACACAATACTTCTTCCTGAGCACGTTATCAAGAAGTTGGAAGATGCAAAGATGAAGCAAGATGCACATAAAGAACAGTAAGGTACATGTCTCATTCAGTCTTTCCTTGGGTAGCATGCTGCAAAGACTAACATGCTTGCATCTTCTAATATTCTACTTCTAATTTGCTGCAGGTAGACTAGCAATGCATTCAGCAAGCAAGGAAGCTTCACATGAGATTTGCAATGGCAGCCGATCTTCTCTCTCTAGTTTTTCTTTTTGCATGTGACGAATCTTGAACTTGTTGCATCCTTTAACCTTCATGGCTTCCTTCAAAACACTTTAAAGTGTTACAAAAATCATGTTTGCTTTCCATGGAGAGTACTCTAAGAATGCCTACAAAACATTAGTTCAAGAAATGAATCAATGAATGGACAATATTGTATGAATACCTTTAAAACATGTGTGAACAATTTACCTGTTGGACGGCTGGAACTAGATCTTTTATTGTTTTTGCATCCTTTTTGTATTGAATAGCTTGAATAGCTCGAAAAAAAAACCCAAGTCTAAAGTGTTGAAATCCGAAGAATTGGGTGGTTGACAAATGAGGCGAATGTCAAACCCTTCTTGCTTGGCGGCCTCACAAAAAATAGGATCATCCACTTTTAAATGGGAAGGTGCATTATCTTGTTGTATGAAAATTGGCTTGTTCACATCTTCCCTTGGTCATTTGTCTCGAATAGCAGGCAACACATTGTTTACCATGAAATCCCTAATCACATCTCTTGTGATTGAAGTTATTGGCTTTTACTTGTTCTCCACGTAGACGATTATGACTTCTTCTAACAGCATGTTCATAAGTGACAAGTGGAAAACAACCAATTTTCCCATCAAAAACACACTCTCCATTCCTAAACCTTGGTCGAGCACAAACACACAAGAACATGAGTCTAGGGATGTAATTCTTGTTCTTACAAGTACGATGTGGTTCATCTTCCTCGGGTAGCAAGTAATATTTTTCATATTTTTGAGAGAGGTAGAACAATTTTTCATCAATGAACACAAAGTCAAAAAAAATCCTTAAACCTTGGATCATCAACCAAACCCTGCTCAATCATATCAACACACCACTTCAACCTAGTCTTCTTGTTAGCATCTGTGAGATATGGTTTGATGCTACTAGAGTGGCGCCTAAGTAAACCTTTTTTCAAATACCTTTGTATCTTAGATTTGCTCATACCAAGTTTATTAGACACATTTTCTATGGTAATTCTTTGCTTGAGAGGGATGTTGCACAATAGTTCCAAATCAGGAGGTACTACCTTGCGTCCACTCCTACCCTTCTTGGAGCGTGTTTGGCACAGCTCTTAGGGGCTCCGGCTCATACACTATAGGTGTACTGTAGCAAGGAGCCGGAGAAGCTCCAAATCATGACTCCATCGGCTTCTCCTCTTCTCAGTTCATTTTTACCTCGAAATCCGAAACGGCTCCATGCTACAGTGTCGATGCAGTGATTTTGAGGAGGAGCCGGAGCCCCTGGGAGCCATGCCAAACACGGGCTTGGTACTAGCAACCACAACTAGAATGTTATGAGCAAGTTGGGTTTTACCTCGTTTCCATAAGCGTTGAACTGACTAGATGTGTATACCAAATTGAGCAGCAACGATTGTTGTATCCTTCTTGCCTAGTTTCCCATTCTTGCTTCTAGCCAACAATGCTTGGTACACTTGCCTTGTTTTTTTTCTGTCATGTCCTTCCTTCTAGCCTGGACAGCATGTTCTATTAAAAGAAAAAAACAAGCGCATTCAAAGGGTCAGCCACGGCATGCAGATTTTGTACGGTAGATGTTGTATCAGAATAATAGGCACGGCATGCAGGTTTACCAGGTAGGTTTTGTACGAAATCGAAATCAACCACACCATATTCATCTAATGGCAAGTTCAAATCAAATCCTGTCCAAAAAGGAAACAAACCAAACTAAGGAAAGATGGAGCTTGAAGGAAACAAAAAACTCAAACAAGGAAACACATTACCATTGTCGTTTTCTTCTAAGCCAACGTTGAGATCAAAGCCGGTGTCATCATCTTCTAAGCGAACATTCATATCAAATGCAGCAACTCTTGGATCAGCCGCCATTGCATGCGGAACAAGCAAAGAGAAGAGAGGAAAGTGAGGAGATGAGGCACGGTAATGGAAAGAGAAGTCCAGGGGAAAGACTGCATTTTAATAGGCACCGTGGAACTCAAACGACGGAGCCGGCGAGCGTTAAAATTAAAATCCCGTGGCGCCACAAAAAAAAAACGTTTGCCTATGAAAAAAACAACGAAAAATGGCGCCCAACACGCCGCCAAAAGTGCCCAAACGCGTGCGCCACGCCCAGCCGAATCAAATTCGCGCGCCATGCAGCCACAGCGCTCACGCCACGCAGGACCACAGTGACATGCAAAATCAAACCAGTAACAAAAAAAAAAATGGTGCCCACCAGGTATCGAACCCAAACCTTAGGACCAACGCCTCAATGCACTAGCCGTCTAAACCGGTAAACTTTCTCGTATAAAATGCACCCGCAACCATATTTAATAGGGACAGATAGAAAAAATATCCTCATAATTAATTACTCCATGGTAAACACAGTCTTGTCCTAAACGATGGGTATGAAGGGAGTATATAATAATAAGATGAGACAACAATACTCTCCGTGGGTCTTTTTTTTTTAAACAAAGCCCCTCCCCGTCGTTTCCGTAGTCCCTGTCCGCGAGCCGTGCTTACTGGCCTGCTGTGCGCCCCCGTCCGTCCACAATCACGCCGCCATCCGCGACAGAAGGCGTGCCCCAGTCCGCCCGCCACTAAGCCGCCGCCGCGCCCCCGTCCGCCCACCACCACGCCGCCATCCGCGACAACCAAAGCCGGGCCCGGTGAGATTGACAGAAAAGCCCATCTCGTTGTACCAAGCCGGCAGAGAGCCCCTAGAAAAACATAGTAGGATGCTGCGGCGCCTCGTCGGCGGAGCGCGCGGCGCGCCGTGCGTGCTCGCGGACGCCGGCGGCGTTCCGTCGGCTGCTCTTCCGTTAGGAAGAAGGGGCGGCGGAGGAGGTGGTGGATGTAGCTCGGGGAGCCGGAGATTTTCGTGGCGTACCGCATTTGTCGATTTCAAATGTAAAAGTAGAAAACGGCGGCGCCCTCTTTTCCGTCAAAATTGGAAGAAGGGGCTCACCTGCTCACCACGAACTTCGTGCAGCCTCATCGGTCGCCTCGACGCACCGGTGAGGCCGTTCGACTTGTTTAATGCTATGTAGCTCCGATGAAGACCGCAGGGCGTACACCTTCCTCTGCGTCACCCTCGTCGTCGCGCCGCGCCTCCTCGAGCTCGTCCAAGTTAACGTTGAGTCCCTCGCTCCTCTGGGCCCCAGCCAATGCTCGTCCGTTTATTTCCTTCGCTCTCGCTTGCTGCAGAATGTTTTTTTTTTCTCGCTTGCAAATTTTTTTTCTTCTCCTAGAAATTGGATGCATTCCCATGTCCTTCTTTTCTGTAGTATATATGATGTGGATTTTGCTTTGCAATATGTTGTTCCCCTATTTGCTCTGGCGCAAGTATGGTTTAACCACTATGTAGATTTAATATGCTTCAGTTAAAATATTAATCCCTTCCTTTTGTCCTAGTGAGTAGAAGAAATAAGTTAATGCATATATTTATCTTGTGTAAAACTTGGTGTTTTAAGCCCTATGAGAAACAAAGGGCATACGAGCATAACACAATTGAGCAGAGTTCTAACAAAATCAGTAGGAACTTTCTGTTATGCCATTTACTCCATCCTGGTAATAACCCATCTTCCCTGCTTCAGTGGAGCAAACATTTAGCTCAAGGTCTGCCATCTTGGTATAAAGTAATTTGGTGCATCATGAATAGCTTGGGGCATTTCGCACCAAACAAAGTCAAAGTCATACTTCCAAATCGTTACGCATCCAAATTTGGAAGCCTTATGTTTGACTAAGGCTAAATCTTCTCATGCTTAGTGTGCAAGAATCAACTTGGATTGTTCATTTCAAAATTTGGCTTTAATGGAATGCTATGAATGTTGCTGAACAAAAATGGTTTTAGTTTGTTGGGTTGCTAATATGACTATCACAATGAATACACTGAAATAAGAAAAGCCAATCTACCATCCAAATAGAGAATGTATCCATCAAGCAAAGAAAGCACTATTTTCCAGAAAATAGCATAAGTAAACTCATTTTCATGATACCCAGGAACAAATCAGGAGCTCCACAATGTATGCCTGATTTAACAATAGTTTTTTCCTTTTGTTTTTCCTACTACCAGCTAACTACATATGTTCTTGTTCAACTGTTATTATGATTTGGACTGAATGAAAGTTAGGTTGTATAACTATGCTTACAGTACGAAGAACTTAAGCAAGGTTATCCAACAATAGATTTATTTATATGTTCTTGTTCAAGTAACTTTATTGTGGTTTTGGTTAAATGAAACTGAGATTCTATCGTTATGCTTCCGATATAAAAAACTTGAACAGAGTGAAACTGCAGTTGAACGGTGAGCTGGCAAATGTTAGCCTAAAGCATCTGAAGCGCAATGACCTTGTTTATGTATCTGGTCGTCTGGGCTCTTATCATAAAGTCAGTCCAAGTGGTGAACGGTATATTTTCTATAAGGTCCGATAGCTGTAACTATGTTTATTATTTTCTTTACCATTCTGAATATATGCTTGTCTCTTAAAAAACAACTGTACAATTAGTGGCTCCGTAAGTCCGTAGTAGTACCACCTACCCATGTGTTGTGTCAGTAGATCTTGTGTCTTGTAAATTGTAATATACGTCTAACTGATGCACCCTTTGATGGTGAGATGTGGACATGTGATCATATATACATCTAGTACTGATGCAACCTTTGATCAGACGTGGGCTTGTGTTCATATAAATTCCTACCTTTGGTATATAAATTCATCTATTCAATGTCTTAATACCGCAATGTTGTAGACAGTGTGTTTTTTTTTCCAATTGGATATTAGTGAACATAAATATGTGCACGATATTTACTTATTCAGTTTTGCTTTGTGATAGTATTAGTTTTGTTAATTTTTTCAGTGCACTATCGCTTTCATACATTTTTAATTGGGAACCCATCATGTTACAGATTTATGTCAGTGAACTGAATTATGTTCTTGATCAAAATAAGCCTCAGAATGACGCAGACTCAACAAGTCCACCATCAATGCCATCTGTCACCCGTAAGTTTTGCCCATTTACTTGTACAATTTTGCAATTGTAGCTATTCGTCTCTTATTAGCCCCCTTTGTTTACATTGTCAGCTCAAATGCAAAAAGAGAATGAGTGCATAGGCCGGCTTCGCTTGTGGCTGGTCTTCTTTGCCAACCCTTATGAATGGTGGGACAACCGACAATCCAAACCATGGCCCACCTACCCTGATTTCAAGCACAAGGACACACGTGAGAAAATATGGCTTCGTCCAGACGACCCTCCCTGGGTACGAAAGCAGCTTGAATTACATGACCTGGAAGTAGCAGAGAATGGTCACAGGGGTAACAGTCGACTGTTAAAAAGTCAAAATTGGAAAGCCCAAGATTTTGACTACTCTGATGATGTACAGCACTGTGCGGAAGCATGAATAGGACACATGACATTTATCTGCCGAGAATGAAGAATTCACCTGGCTATTTGGGTGGGTGGGGATGCGCTTTTTCTTTGTCCAGAGATCTTACTCAATTGTATAGATGGTATGCTTGGTAGGATGTGAATATGTTTTGACTTTGCTAATTATTGGGACTGCAAGGTTATTGTGTACTTTGTAATTTTATTTATGCGTATGGCAAGGTGCAGATGTGAGGGGACATCGACATTTTAGCGAGGCCCTATCAATTAAAATGTCTCAGAGTTTGGTAAGCGATATTGTCAACTCACAAAAGGCATGTATGTATTCTTAGAATTGCTTTCAAGTTTTCCTCTCATGAGTCTGTTTTGCAGCACTAGCGTACGTGTTTGGTTTGCGTCGCCGTATGATCCGATCCAAAAACCAAAGCTAGCCGTGCCGTTTGGTGTGCCTCATCAGACGGAGATCCGATCCAAAAACCAAAGCTAGCCGTGCCGTTTGGTCTGCCTCATCAAACGGATCCATTCGTCACCGACACCGACTAATCCATGCGCAAGTCGTTTCCTGTGACCATCCGGCTCCTCAGAAACCATTTCCTGTGACCATCCGGCTCCTCAGAAATCAGCGGACGACCATATTCTTCGTGTGTCCGACCCTAGCCAAGCTGAACCCACGAGAGATCAACTCATTCCGCATGATATGGTTCCTTGAACCAAACACGCTCATCCAGTCGTGCAGGAAACAAGATATCCTGGGTGGGATAACATCCTGTGCGAGATCTGTGATCAGCAGGTTTTAGCATTTCAGGATGAAACTTAAGTCAGAACCCCTGAGACCTATTCTGAGCTCCTGGGAACTGTTCTTCCATGCCAATTATCTTTGATCAGCAATCTGTTCTCAGTATTTCCCCTTTTTCACGAAGGAGCCCAAGAACTTTACAATGCAAGAATAGTAAAGTAAAAATTGAGACATACACTGACGCAGCAGTGCAGACCTTTTTCATGGTAACTTGATTTTGTTGCAGGCCTGCAAAGTCATGAACTACCATCTACCAGTGCAGTTCCACTGCTTCAGTGTCCAGCAACTTAGCGTAAGGTAAGGCTGCTCAGCCAACCATGTTTATAATGGTGGACCTCCATTGGAAGAAATGCCTACCTTCCAAACATGATAACTTGATAAGAGAAAAACAATACAAGTGCCCTTCGTAAACGTATAACTTCCTATAAATGGTGTGGTCTTTGGATTCCTCATATTAGAATAGTATCATTGGATTTATATCATGAAAAAAATGCAACTTGTAATTTAACAATTTTTTTACTATTATTGCCATATATAGGGAGTATTAGTTTAACCTGTCCACTGGAGACCTGTCAATGTCGAAGACATCATAGACTTACTAACAGAGTATAAAAGAATGTCTTCTTTTGGACTCACTTTATAATTGTATGAAGTACATTCTACTTACACAGCAAAAGAAAAAAAAAAACCTGCTGGTATTATCTGTAGAGCCAATGGAAGATTAAAGCAATAATTGTATCAGCATGAACAAAATGGTATGATCATAGGTTGTAATATGTTTGCTGGGTCTCTGTATTGTCTGATGATTGCTGGTTCTTTGTCAAAATGGCGAGTGAACACCTAGAAAAATGGTGAATGAACACCTAGAGGAATGCCGGATCTTTATATCTCTTGAAAAGATCCTCAATGCCGTCAAGAACTTCTTGTGGTAGAGGCCGTGGAGTGCTGGTAAACGCGTCAATGTTCTCCTTCAACTGGTCCATAGTGGTTGCTCCAATGATGGAGCTAGCAGTGAATGGACGGTCACGCACAAAGCCAAGGGCAAGCTGGACTGGAGTTAGCCCATGCTTCTTGGCAAGCTTTACATATTCTAATGTTGCTTCCTGCCATAAAAAATTAATCAAAGTAAAGTAGAATGCATACGGACACAACAGTTAGGGCAAAAACAAATTTGTTATAGTATATATCATACTTTAGCCAAAGAAGCATTGTAGCGTGCCATGTATCCAGGGAAGAGATTTAGCCTACTCTTTCAGATGTCAGTGTTAACATCAAGATACTTCCCAGTGAGAACCCCACCAGCCAATGGGGAGTAGGCAAGCAGTCCAACATTGCAGTTATTTGGGTGGCAAACTTCAACAAGATCAACTGTGATGAAACAAAATATGGTTAAAACTTTTTTTTTAACACAATGGCAGGAGCTCTGCCTTTCAATTAAGATAGAGAAAGAAAGTTTATGTATAAGCAAGGACAAACGAGATTAAGGTTTCATCCCCCCTTCCCCCCATACACATATGAGCTAAACGTACTCAAGAGTTCTCTTCCTTTGCTGTATGTCTTCTTTTATCCTTGCGGCACCGTTTCTATCAAGTTGTCAAAAATTCTCCTATTTCTCTCCTTCCATATATTCCAGAAGGTGTAGATAACTACCCCGTTCAGTCGCCTACGCTCAGATCTTGGTACTTTCGCTGCCGCGTCTTCCCACCATGATTTGATGTGGGTGGGGTGTACCTGGAGGTGCTGTTGCAGTTGAGTGAAGTTTTCCCACGATAGGATTTGACCCCAAACTGCCTTGGCAAAAGGGCAACAAAGGCATAAGTGGAGGCTTGTTTCTAAGGGACCGTTGCACAGGACACATTGTTGTTGGTGCGGCCACCCTCTCTTTTGTAGGTTATGAGCCGTTAGAATTTTATCTTACACTAAGATCCAGGCGAAGATCTTGCATCTGTTCTCCACATGCGCTTTCCAAATCAAGTCCGTACGAAGGGGGGTAGCGAACCTCTGAATTGGATTCTGTATGCCAAGCGGGTGGAGAAATTCCCATCATTGGTCCAACGCCAGGAGATGGTGTCCTGGACGCCCTGCTGTAGGTGCACATCCTGTATTCGTATCCAAAGGGATACAAACTCCTCTATGTGGGTAGCCGAGGTGATTTTCCTCCCTAGCTTATGCATCCAATTGTTATTCCGTAGCTCTTTTTGCACCGTTTGGTTTGTCCTTGAGACTAGCCGGAACAAGTTCGGGGCTAGATACTTAGGAGCCTGTCCATCGAGCCAACTGTGGTGCCAAAACTTTGTCTTTGCACCATCTCCCAAAGATATAATGATTGAGGAGTTGAAGAGGAGGTGGTCATCATCAGAACATGGGAGCTCCGAGCCGCTCCAAGGCTTGGAATCATCCACCCATTCTTGCCAAAGCCATCGCAACCGGAGAGCTCGCTCAAATCTCTCCAGGTCAGGGACGCCTAAACCGCCAAGGTCTTTTGGTCTGGTAACTGTCTGCCAGTTAACTAGGCAGTGCCCGCCATTTGCATTCTCCTCCCCCTTCCACAAGAAAGATCTCCTGATTTTGTCGATCTTCTTCTTAGCCCAAGCGGCGAGAGGAAACACTGTCAGGTGGTAGGTTGGCATGGAGGAGAGGACAGAGGTTACAAGAGTGAGGCGTCCCGCTCTGTTCAGCCATCTTCCTTTCCATTTGGGTAGCCTGTGCCCAATCCGGTCTATGAGAGGTTGCACATGGATCCTTTGCAGTGATCTAACGTGGAGTTGTAGCCCCAAATATGGTTAAAACTCAGTTGTTGGTTGCACTCGGTATAGACAAGAGAGGCTGCAAATCACATTATACGAAAAGCATGAAGCAAAAAATATGTTACCAAACAAATCACTACCCAATAGCACAAAATCCATATTTCCTCTTTTCAGCAACACCTCATAATAAGAAGAAAAATGACACTACCCCAGCTAGTTTATACTCCAGTTTCTATTAAATACATTGTCACCCATTAGCACAAACCTTCATTTCCATTTTTAGCAACACCTTGTATGGAGAAACTAGAAAATCTCATGAAACATATTAGCAAGAAAAGATGTATATCAGCAATTTAATATTTGTTTGTTAAGAGGAAACTGGCCTTTCTAATTGTATGAGAAATCAAAGGGAATTCTCAAAATACTGGTACAATTTCAGAAATGAGGGCATTACTAAGAGAGTTCCTATGAATGAAATGGATGGACTAAATCAATGTTTTCACCTTCAAAGCTGCATCTCACAAGTAGACTATAACTGTTCTGGATGCTCACGATCTTTGGAAGGCCTTGAGTCTTTGCAGCATGCACAAACTCCATTACTCCATAAGTCCATATGAGGTCTCATTCGAAACACCGATATAGCGAACCTAAAGTAGAGATAACATTAGACAATGATTAACAACTTGATATTCTTGTTGATTGTCTTCTGAATGAGCTGTCAGCACTGAGACAAAAGTTTTAACTACTCGATGTGCCTCTACTTTCACAAGAGTTGCATGCTGATAAGCTACTTTTTTTTCTGTAAAAAAAATACTTACATGGCTGTTACCTGATGCATATTATGTAACATTTTAAAACAGATAGTACCAGCACATGTTGTAACTTGTAAACTGCATCCACATCAAGATCAGATATATAACTATCAGAGATTCAATTCAGGGGAGAGGGCTTTGGCTGGACAAGGGCCCCAGCCGAGTAGCGATCAGGGGGCACCCACGGTGGTCAGGTGGAGGCTGCTGATGCAATGGTAGAGGGGGAGGCCCTGTAAAGTGTAAACCAAAGGCAGAGGGGAAAATTCCCTCACGCTGCTTGACCATTCATTGATAACTCCCTCCATATATTAGAGGGGAAAGACCTGACCCCTAATACAACTCCTAATAGATTGATTCTTATGAATAGAATCCAATATTCCAATCTGATTGCAACTCGAAAAGTAAACCTAAACCTATGAGGCTATGACAGCTGGGCGATTCTTTAAATTCATTATTTCCTTAACCTGCCACTTTGGATTTTCCTTTCTTATGTTGGTAGGTCCTGCCGGCCATGATAGCAACTGTGCAATGTTATATGTTTTCCCATGAAAAATGTTTATGTGTTACTATTTTGCTAGTATAAGAATACTAATAATAGAAATCTCACCTTTCCTTCGTCAATTAGCTCCTGGAAAGCCTTCAATTGTTCCTCAAAAGGGATGCTTGGCCTCCATTTGGTTGGATTATAACTAAATTCACCAAATAGTGCCACATATCTATCTGGCCTGGACACATGAAGAAAAACTTTGGAACCAGAAATGTTTATTTGATTCAGTTCAATTGCAAATAGATATATATCAATCTAACAGAAAAAGCTCCGATCCAAAAAGTTTACATGGGCAGTTAAAGAACTCATAGAACTGCACTCAAAGAAAGCTGGTGCAAAAGGCAAAAGAAACAACTACTTCAAACTGAACTGAAATAGTGAAATTTACTTGGTTAAGTCCCCCATATGTTGTAACCTATATTTTACAAGGAACACAGATGGAACTCCAAGAAGAGTTCGGTTAATATATCCATTCATATTTTCTCCCTATTAATCAGTGATATAAGAACCTGCTGAACCTTATATGAAGCATATAATAGAAAAGGCATATTGACTTTCCCGATCAATACATTCACCAGTTTCCTTAAAAAAATTGATATAATTCTGTACAAGAAAAAAAATCCATACTGGTGTTTAATGGAATGTTTACATGTATGTTGGTAAAATACTAAAAACAGAAAAGTGAACCTAAATATTGTTTTTGGCAGGCATACAGCCATACAGGTGAATCAAGCTAACACTGACCAGTGTATCTGAAGCAAATCAATGTAATCTGTAGACAAGCGTTTAAGGCTCTTTTCAACACTTTCTTTGATATTGGCAGCATCAACACGCACCACTTCTGCGTTGTCACGAAGAAATGCAGACCTCTCAGAATAACCAGCAACTTTGGTGGCTAAAATTATCTAAAATGCAAAGAAAAAAAAAAGGCAAGACCCATCTTACAGTCAGACATTAAACATGACATAGTGGGAAACTTAGGGATTGTGCATTAAAAGGACTGATAGGTGTTATTACTTATTAGTAAAAGCTATACTTCTAAACTTTAAACACTGGCATCAATTTGAGGGATGAAAGCAAGCATATTGTGTAAGAATCATTGCTCGTGAAGAAATAAAGATTTAACAATCATGTGGATTAGTAATAAGAAGTTTATAGTAGAAAACATGTTTTGCTCAGCTGCCCTGTGGGGGCTTTGGAAACTGAGAAATTGTCTATGCTTTCAGGGTACAAAGTGGAAGAGTGGTCAGGTGCTGTTACTGAAGGTAACAGCTATGATCCAGAGTTGGTCTCTCCTTTGCCCCAAGGAGAAACAGGGGGGAGTTCTTTGCTCGGCTGGACAGGCTGAAAGACATCTTGTCAAGACCCCTCCGGATTACCTACTAAACCAAGTGAGTAACAAGTGGGAAAGGCTCCTCTTTCAGTCGGCTCACAATTGGAGATGCTCATCGTTTCCTGAAGAAGCTGGGTACCTGTTGGCGGATGTTGCAAATCTGGAGCCAGCAGTCCGAGAGAAGAAATGGCTTAATCTGTCAATGTTTGGCGATGCTTGGAAGATGCAATTTGAGTGGTGTTTGCTGAGTGTTCTGTCAGGATAGAGGTGTTTCTGCTTGCCTGGATGATGTAGCGTTTGCAGTTTGGAGTTGCTGTATCGACTGCTTAAACCGTTCTTGGTCTTTTTTAATATGAAGGCCGGGGCTATGCCCTCGAACTCTAAAGAAAAGATTGAACAATCCAAAATATATTGTAACATCCATTTAGGTTACCTTGTCTCGTGGTTTTGATTGCATCCACCTGCCAATATAAAGATCAGTTCTCCCTTGAGTTTCCTTGTTGACTGGAACTGGGTACTAGGCCAAAAGAAAAAAAAAATGGAAAAGTATATCCCATCACTTAACTTGAAAACAGAGAGAGGGATAGTTAGTAGAAGTAAGGAAGGAATCTATACTGACAATTTCCGCTGTGTCTAGGATATTGATGCCTTGATCGAAAGAATAAGCGATAATATCATGTGCTTCCTTCTCTGTGTTTTGCTCGCCAAAAGTCATCTGGAAAGAAAAGGATTTACCTTGAGATGAAGAAAGCATTATTTGCAGCAAGAGGGTTTCAAGTTTCATAATCATACATACCGTCCCAAGAGTGACCTCACTGATAAACAGATCAGAATCTCCCAGTTTCTGGTACTGCAGCTGTGTTTGTGCCACTGCCCTGACTTGGCTGTGAACGCGCCTCTTGTGCAATCTTTGAGAATGACGAGCATGGAGCGCTGATAAGGTGCCGCCGTGCGATGGAGGGGAGGTTACGGCGAACGATGGCATGGCCATTTGTTGCATACTGATGAAATTCCTGCTTGCACCACATCCCACCATCAAGTAAATTTTGCGTCACAAATTCAGTATGCCTCCAGAAACTAGAATCCTAAAGAACGTTCCCCAAGGAAGCCTAGCCACTACATCTAACATCGTATATGTATTTAAATAAACAAATTATTTCCAGTAGTTAAATTTAGGCAATGCTGACAACATTAGAAGTAGGCATAAACATACAACTAAATGCGAGTGTTGAACCCTGCCTCCTGCCCCCACCTATGGCAGCCAATACCCAGTGGAGGATTCGTACCATATTTGCCACCATAATTGGACCGAAAACAAAACTCGGGACGAATTGCAGAACGAACAAGAAAAAAGCATTGGATTGAGTCGATTGACGCCTATCTTTTCATCAGAAATATAAAAACCCAAGAGAAGAGAGGAAGGGGAAGAGTAGAATAGTACCCGTTTCACGGCCTCCCGCCGAACCCAATCGGCAAACAGGAGAAGCGCGGCTAGCGGGCTCAAGAACGGAGGAATTGCTGGAGTAGAGGGAGGCGAGTGGAGGAGGCGCCGGCCGCGGCGATGACCTTTCCGAAGCCGACGAGGCGGATGAGGTGGCCATCCCGCGCCACGGGGCACGCACGGCACGTCGCTGATGGGTGGCCCATATGCAAACAGCCCAACACTGGTGGGTGCCGAAACGGCGGCCAGTCAAGGCCCATCCCATCACTTGTTGCTTCTCCATCGAGTCCCATCCCATTAAACAGATTAGGCCCAGCCCATCACTTGTTGCTTGCGGTGGGGGGCCATCCCGTCCCCACTCTCGATGGTGCTGGGTGGCGGCGGCGACAGGAGCGCGAGGCTCTCCTCCGACGATGCCGCCGCCGCAGCTGCAGGCGAGGACCGGCTCAGCACACTCCCCGACGACGTCCTCGTCCTCATCCTCCTCAAGCTCAGCACCCGCGCCGCTGCCCAGACCAGCGTCCTCTCCCACCGCTGGCGCCGCAACTAGGCTTTCCTCCCGGTGCTCTGCTTCACTTTTCCCCCTAAGCCCCACCGGTTGCGCGACGCCCATGAGGTGCTCGTCCGCGCCCTCTTCGTCGGGGCCGACGGCGCCACCCCTGAGTCTCTGGCGGTCTGGCTCCCCGCCGCCGCGCGCCGCGTCTCCGGTGACCTAACCCTTTTCAGCCGTGGTCCCGTGAAAGATGAAGAGGAGGAGCAGGCCGCGCAAGGAGGTGCCTTTGAGTTCCCCTGCTTTGAGAAGGCCACCTCGATCTCGCTCGTCTTGGCTTTTCAGGGCCTCGCCGTGCCTCCCACCGGTGTCTTCACTCGGCTCACAGAGCTCCACCTGAGCCAAGTCTGGTTCCACGGCCCAGGCGAGCTCGGCGACGCCGTGTCCTCGCTGCGGTGCCCGTGCTTGCAGAGGCTCACTGTTGACAACGCCCGGGGGCTGGGCGATCTCTCTAATACATTCGGAGTCTCTGCTCGTTGTGGCGCCGACACTCAAGGAGTTAACTGTGGCATTGTGTTTTTTTCAACAATCGACCGGTCGCCAACATCTCTGCCCCCTCGGCTGACGAATCTTGACTGGGTTGATGGATATGATCCCAGTTCCGTCCACCTTGGCAAGATGGAACATCTCCGATGTCTGGGCACCAGCTTTTATCTTGTCTATCCACATCGCGTCATACACAATCACTCTTGTTTAAGTCTCTTGCAGCGCATTGAGGGCATCAAAACTCTTTCCCTAAAGCTGGCGTGTAGTGCCATAGCATGCTAGTGTACCATCCAAGGTTCCTATGTGTGACATGTGTCATGCTGACTAAGAATGGTCCTAGGCTACCACTGAGTTAAAGTTTGCTCAATGCCCCCTTTTTTTGTAAATAAAAACTTAACGCCTAAGGCTTGATTAGACATGTTAAAGCAAGTAAATAAAGTACTTCAGGCATATTACTTATGAGTCTTTGTTTAGTATAAAATAAATTGACTTGTGCATTGAACCAAATGGATTACTTAATGTTTCATTTCCACTATTTTGACCTTTTGTCAAATTGTCTGGGAGATGGTGATATCAGGAAACCATCATTGGTAGAAGTAATCGCATGTTTTGGTTTACTTAGGACCTCAGGTCCCTCCGACATTACTCAGCACACTCATTAGTTACTATTTTCCGATATAGCTTCAAGAAGCATGAGAGCCAGAGTATTTTCTGGAGAACAAGTCTTTTAAGCAGCTCAAAATTGCCATGCTTTGTGTAAGAACCCCAGAATGAACTTGTTAGCTTATAATGACCGTTTCGTGCATGCTCACACCAATGGTCAGCTAGCAACAATACTGAAACAGCTTTAGGTTTCATTCCCCTTCTGTCACAGATGAGTATGACCCCCTTTTATTTTCATTCCTTCGAAAATGCAGGATATAAGGAACTGTCAATACAAGATGGAAGACATGGTAGTGCTCCCTGACATTACGTTTTTGCGCCTAATGGTAGTGGCAAATGGAAATGCCTTTGAGGCCAGCGCATTCCATGTTCTCAGATTGTCTACGGGTATAAGAAGGTTGATGCTGCTGTTATCTCCTACTCGCTCAGAGGTAAACCTATTCTTTGTTTGCCTAATACTCTCTCCAGACACGGAAAAAAAGGTAGCGTTTTGGTCCCTAAAAGACATTTTGATCTATTAAATTATATATCAAAAGCCACATTAAGTTAAACCATTATGCAACTATTTTTCAAGGTAGATCAATGCATGCTATTTTATGAAAAAGCATGTGTTTGTATTTAGTTAGACATGATCCGTAGAAGGGTGTAACACAACTCGTTCTCTTACTGGAGGAAGTATTTAAGTTGCAGGGAAGTAATGGGAAAAAACCTGCATTTGCTTCTTCTTTTTTTGGCAGATGTATGATTTATTTGATATTCTAATGATAGCACTTTACTCTGTAGATTTAACTGTTGGTATACTATTTGGTCTGTAAATTGTTTCTCTCTTTCTAGTTATTGTTAGCCTGTTTGAAATATATATGGCTGTGAACCTGTGGTGAGTCGTTGGATGGCACTAAAGCAGATCAACATCGGTAATATACATAAGAGTTAGAAAATAATATGGCAGTGAACAGAAAGTTGAAGGAGTAATTGGCCTAAGTATTTATATATTTTTTTTTTAAAAAAAGAAAGGTAAAAAAGGTTCTGTTGGTCCATTCAGAACCTATGCACTAAGATTGATTCAAAATCTCCTTAATTCTGGGCGATTAATAGGATGTTGCTGTTACATGGAATTTTCTGTGATTTTGTAAACAGAAATTATGCTCTTGTTTGCTATCTTTTCTCTTGGTAGGAAATTATATTGCTGCAACTAGTTACTAGGCTCAAAAGTATTCAGGAATCTGACTATTTACCCTCTCTCCTTTTTATCATGCAATCACCAATTAATTTTATTAAGTTAATATACTTCCTGGTGTCAGGCCCAGACTGTATGGTCATCCGATTGCATATGCCTTCAGCAAGTGGAGTGGGAAACGGAGGAACTCTTGTTGAATCACCTTGAAGAAGTAGAAATCACTGGATGGAGAGGAACTGAACATGAAGTTGCTTTTGTGGAACGACTTTTCGATTGGGGGACAAAGCTTAAAGAGATGACAATAAATTTCGATCGGTTCGATCTCTAAAGTCAAGGCCAAGGAGCTGTACCAAGTATTTCAGAGTTTCTCTAGGCTAGGAGTATGTACGAAATTTTACCTATATCAGAAGCATAGGAAGGTGTTATATGCACCTGAGTACTAGCACACCAGGTTATCAATGTTTTCTTGTTATGAACCGTACTGTATGAGAGCATCGAAATGCTAGATCTTGAAGGAAAATGGTTGAGGTCCATTATATTTTGTATTTTGTTTATGGAAGTTGAAGCCTTGCTTTTTTTTCACAAGCTGGAAGTGTATAAGAACCAAATATAGGTACGTTAAACTTCAGCGATTCTTTGACCCTGCTTGCTAGCCGCTCCATTTTACCCCGTAAACAAGCTCATGGTATTTAGAACACGGATAATACCCTCCCATAACCGTAAAAGTGCAAAATTGAGATGTTCTGTCCACAGACGCATAAGCTATGCCTTCACAAAGCTCGACAGGAAAAAAAAAATGTGTCACACAAAAAATTGCACGGAGTGGCAAAAGCAGCCCTGTAGGCCTTCGAAAACACAGGCTATAGGGAATTATCAATACATGATGGAACACATGGCAGTGCTCCCTGACATTACATTTTTGCGCCTGATGGTAGTTGCAGGTGGACATGCCTTTGAGGCCAGCGCATTCCATGTTCTCAGATTGTGTACTGGTATAAGAAGGTTGATGCTGCAGACGGTAGTTGCTACTGGCTCAGAGGTAAACCTATTCTTTGCTTGCCTAATACTCTCTCCAGACACAAAAAAAAAAAGGTAGCGTTTTGGTTCCTAAAAGGCATTTTGACAATAAATTTCTGTTAAAGTATATATCGAAAGCCAAATTAAAATAAAGCATTATGACGCATGCTGTTTTTACGAAACAAAACATATGTTTGTATTTAGTTAGACATGGTCCCTAGGTAAAATACAACTCGTTTTCTTACTGGAGTAGTATTGAAGTTGCCAGGGAAGTAACGGGAAGAAACCTGCATTTTTTTTTGGCAAATGTATGGTTTATTTGATATCCTAATGATAGCAGTTTACTCTGTAGATTTAACTGTCGGTATACTATTTGGGCTGTAAATCATTGCTCTCTTTCTAGTTTACCTGTTTGAAATATATGGTTGTGGACGTGTGGTGAGTCGTTGGATGGCACTGAAGCAGATCAACCTTGGTAATCTATATATAAGAGTTATAGAAAATAATATGGCAGTGGATAGAAAGTTGAAGGAGTAATTGGCCTAAGTATTTTTATTAAAAAAATGTTATGTAGGTCCATTCAAAACCTATGCACCAAGATTGATTCAAAATATCTTTAATTTCTGTAATTAATAGCTTGTTGCTGTTACATGAACTTTTCTGTGATTTTGTTAGAAAAATATATTGTTGCAACTAGGGCCTGTTCGGCTAGTATTAAAGCCGGCTGAAGCTGTTTTGTTGTGAGAGAAAAATACTGTAGATTCTAGCTGATAAGTTCAAGCGAACAGGCCTACTTCTAGGCTGAGTTATTTTTTTAGTTGTTGATGTCAACACATTGGCACACTTCAAAAGTGTTGAGGAATCTGACAATTTACTCTCTTTCTCTCTCTCTCTCTCCTTTTTGTCATTCAATCATCAATCGATTTTATTAAGTTAATACATGATACTTCCTTGTGTCAGCAAGCTGTATGCCCATCCGATTGCATATGCGTTCAGCCAGCAGACTGGGAACCCGAGGAACTCTTGTTGAATCATCTTGAAGAAGTAGAAATCAGTGGATGGAGAGGAACTGAAGATGAAGTTGCTTTTGTGAAATGACTTTTCGGTTTGGGGCTCGGGGGGACAAAGCTTAAAGAGATGACAGTAAATTTCCATCGTCAATCTCTGAAGTCAAGGCCAAAGAGTTGTACCAAATCATTCAGAGTTTCTCTGGGGCCACGAGTATGCATGAAATTTTATCTATATCAGAAGTTATATGCACCTAAGGACCAGCACACCACGTTGTCACCTTAGGCACTTTTTTATGGTTTATTTAATGTTTTCTTGTTAAAACCCGTACTGTATGAGAGCATCAAAATGCTAGCAGATCTTAAAAAGCAATGTTGAGATCTAGTATATTTTTTATTTTGTTTATGAAAGTTGAAGCCTTTTTTTTCTGAACAAGCTAGAAGTGCCTAATATAGGCACGCCCTTCTTGCTAGCCGCTGCCATTTTACTATCTCAGAAAATAACCAAATGGTATTTGGAACACGGATAAATAAATATATCACATTACCATATCTATACCTAATAATAAAAAGGCAAAAATTTTACCATAACTTTTTTTTTGCCATAACTTTTTTTCTGTCTCTTTTTCCACTCCGATATGCTTGTATATATTTTTTTTTTCTATTTCAGTCCAGGTTCTATTCCAGTCCAGGAAGAATTGAAAAAAAAAAAACAACAACAAACCACCGACCCTACGATCTGTATGCCGCTTGCGTGCTTTGCAACCTATTTGTGTGGGCTGAGCCTACGAGATATTGGGCCATGTCACATGCATCTTTCAATGCGGCCCGGACAGCCGGGTTAGCCGTAAGATGCATGCAGCTCTCCTAGACATACATAAATACGTATTTTTTTTGTCTAATAAATATGCCACGTCGCCAAATAAAGAAATGATGCATGCCCTCACATTTATATCTATACCTAATAATAAAATGACAAAATTTCTCTACACCCTAAATTTGGTCTGACCCATTCTTTTGTCCCAACAGCCCAATACCACTGTGGTCACACGCTCAGCGCACACAGTATCCGACGTATCTCCCTCCCTCGTTCCGTCTCTCACGCACGGCATGGCTATTAAACAAAGATTTCTTTCGAACGCTCCCATGAAAACATTGCCGAGTCCGGCTACACATACATACAACTAGGACATAAATAAATTACAAAATTCTTTTATTTTGAATCTTTTTCTCTATTCACTATCATTCTGCGTCTTCGACTTCTGTTAGTTTCTTTTCTTCTTTAATACAATAGCTATAATTTAATATAGAATCTATTTCTCAAAGTAATGGAATAATTGTCAGAACGCTCCCCATGAAAACATTGCCGAGTCCGGCTACACACACATACAACTAGGACAATAGGATAGTCGTTCCTG